CCCCCCCCCCCCCCCCCCCCAGGGACAAGAACCCCTGCCCCCCTACCCCTTTCAACAGACACTGCTCACAAGGCGGATCCAGGCATGAAGGACAAGATCATGGAGGCACTCTGTGGCAAGATGTAGTTTAGTCACTCAGGGTGGACGGTACCGGTAGATAAGGTCTGTAGGACCTAGGGCACATTTGGACTTGGTACAGACTTCTGTGACCCAAGAGTCCTATACCACCAAGCGCAAGAGCCTTCCTCAACCTTACATCCCAAAGTTGCGAAGGCTCGAATTCCTGCAGGAGTGAAGGGATCGAGGTTCCGCCGGCTTTGGCAGGGAGCTTTGTGGCCCGTGACCATGTCGAAGGAAAAACGCAGTACCGCGTTTGAGCTTCGGGTGTGCCAGTAGCGGGTTATGGGGCTGGCAGGCAAGAGTTCCAGGGAAGGTCATGATTACAGGCTTTCGGGAGAAGCTTTCAGGAAATTTGCATGGTTTTTTGGACCCCAAAATGCATGAGCCCCAGCTGCCTGAAAATGGGAAATTTGGGGCTTCGGCTTGAAGCTTCGGACTGCGGGGGCCATCCATGGCCTCTTGCTATCTTTGGGTTTTGGGCAATCTTAGAGATCTAAGCTCGAGAGTCTGTAAACCCGACTCCGAAGCCCTGTGCAGGATCCGGAAAAGTACATCCCACCCTTCGAGGACGCTCTCTTGGCTTCTCGACGGAAGGTCAAGGGTCGTTCAACCTGTCTCAGGGTTCCGGTCAGGGTACCTGGTTGGATTTCAATACGAACAAAGGAAGCCTGGTCCGAAAGGCAAGCATGGAGAACACGCCCAACATGAACGCATATCGGAAATGATTCAGTTTGGTCCGGGTTTTGAGTTTCGATCTTGGTAGTTGACTCACTGCTTTCCTTTTCTGGGGGATATGGTTGTTCTACCTTGACATGGTTTCGTGTTTTTGAGTATTCAGCAACTCAACAAGAGAGAACACGAGCCGGAGTACCCCGTCTACTCCGCATGTCGTTCAAGCTGTTCTCTCGCTGGAGCTGGCTGGCACTGTCAGGCGTGCCGCGGCAATAACTACCGTAAGCCGCAGGCCATCCCGAAGCCCATAATTAAATCTAGGCCCTGAAGTCCTTAAACCCTATGAACCTCAAATTCTAAGCCCTCAAATCCTGAATCACCAGCCTCGAACCAAGCCCTTGTATCCGTCAATTCCAAAAGTTTTCCCCCAAGGGTTACCTTCAGCAGCAGAACCCCAAGGCTGGTGGAGAGAAGGGAGAGTAGCTTCAGGGAAGTTTAGGCGAGTCCAGGGAGGGCTCGGGGCTTACGTAAAGGTTGCGGAGTTTCGGCTGCGACGGGGCTTTATTCCGGTGAGCTAGGTGATGTAAGGGTTCTGGGGTTTCGGGCTTAAGGGCCAGGGCTTTGGTGGCTTTGGGTAAGTGTATTGCAACTGGCATTACAAGTCCGACCGCTGTGGGATTGAGGCTGATGGTATGCTGCATCGCACAGCTTCCGTCCTGAATGAAGAGAAGCACTGAATCATTTATGCTCGTCGTTCTGTTGTTTCAACTCTGCCTTCGTGACATTCAGTATCTTTTGAATGTCCGAACAAAAGCCATGAACATCGAACAAGACCCTTATCGTCGTACCCGTGAGCCCTGAACCGGGTTAACTCAGTGCTTGGGGCATAGGATTCAGAGATCAAGGTTTAAGCCTGTTTAGGGCCACGGCCGGAAGAAGTCGACCTAGTTGTGGTCAGAGTTAAGAGATGTTAGGAGCTTATCGGAAGTCAGGGCTTGGCCTCAGTTTTAATTTGAGCTGCGAGGATTCAGAGCATCTGGTCCGAGAAGCCCGGGTAAAATAAAAGACATAGGATTACAGATAGGGCTTCCTGCTGAAACGGCACACATTGAATCACCGGCCCGTGAATCGAATGCCTTGTAATCTCTTATGCGGTGCGATCTGTGTCTGCGTCAGCATAAGGATGGGCCTGTAGGTTCACTACAGACCGGTTTAGAGTTTAGAGTTTAGCGACGTTTACAAACGGTTTAGGGCCTAGGGGATCACCTGGCTGTTGGAGACTATGGTGCAGCCCGAGCCCGTCAGGAGCGAGTTGCCCGCCTAGACGGGTCCCGATTGGCTCAAGCGCGGACGCAAAGCCAAAGGCGAAAGAACCCACCTCTCCGATCCTGAGTCAGAACTCCGCAGGTGGTCAAGGAGCTTGCCCAGCCACTCCGCCTGGATGTGCGGGGCCATTTTGGCCGCTACCATGTGCGGGACCTGAGACAGGGTCATATACGAAGCTGAACGGGGGGGTTTTAGCAAAGGGGGGGAATGTCCTACTATAGACGCCAGTTGGAGGCTTGTTGTTGCCACTATCATGGTTGTCGTTTGTGGTGGTCTACGTGATTTGACGTTAGGACTGCTTGACAAAGAGACTACGTAAGGGACTCATGCCTCTTTCCTGTTTTCTTTTAAGGGCAGCTCCAGGTATATGCAACCTGCTTTTCCTGTGACGCTCGCGGCCAAACTGTCAAGTACAGAGTGTGCGACGCGCGCATGCGAAGCCTGAGGTGGAAGGCTCCATCTCCATAGTTAACATGTATTTATATATATATATATATATGTATATGTATATGTATCCACCCCTAGTGCCCCGCTGCTTTGCTACCAATGTGTAGATTAGGTCACAATTTGCCTCAAGCCTTGAAGCCTCAGCCGACGCAGTAGGGCTGGTCCAGTCTAGTCAGTCATGCAAGTGGAGAATACTTTGCCTGAAACTGATGCTGTTGATCTAAAGATGATGAAGGAGAAACTCTAGAACGGATCCATGGGAAGGCCCTCATGGGTTCGGGGCTGCCGGTTGGACAGTGTAGGTTTTTGAAGAGCCTGGGCGCCTTGGTACAAACTTTCACCATTGTTCCCCGTTCAACCCTCACCTCCCGGCTGATCTGACCCAAGCCCAATTGCAGAGCCGCCCAAGGTCACTCCTCGAGGCGTAACACCAGACTGTGTTGGCAGGCTTTTGTGCCGGGAGCTTGGTGCTAGCTGCTGGCATTCGGGCTGTGGAGTTTTGGGAACGTGAAGAAGATGCTTGGTGCAATGTACTGTCTTGACATTCTATGAAAGGGCTTCATGCTATGATCCCAAGGTAGGTAGCATCCTAATTCCAGGCCCAAAATCCCAAACCGGAGCCCCTCCCCAACACCAGCACCAAAGCAGTTAAATAAATCCCAGATTTCCGGTACGAAGGCTCCTGCCGAACAGCTGTTTTGTTTGGACATGAGGGTGAAGGTCTACGTCCCTGGAAGGGTTCACGCAGCGAATCGGATGAGGTTTTTTGGCGTGCATGAATCCTTCTGCACAAAATTCACTCCCACGCCCGAAATCCGAAACCCGCTATCGGAGTCCTCGAGTCCCTAACAATCTGAACTTACTGCCCAAACTCCGAAGCTCAAGCCCCTTTAGGCTCAGAGCCGAAAACGCATCACCAAAAAGCCCAAGTCAGCCTAAGCCTTGAGCTGGGCCCTGGGCCCTCAAACCGCTGCACCGCCTATTTCTCTTTAATTTGGCTCGAGGGGCCGAGCGTGCTCCGAGATAGCATCCGTTAAGGTCACACGATTCGTGGCTGACTGGCCTGTGTGGATATATATATGTATATATATAGATAGATAGTTAGATAGATAGATAGCTGGATAGATAAATAGAGATATAGATAGAGATAGAGATAGATAGTTAGATAACATATATGACTGTTGCCATAGGAGTCAGACGAGTACTAAGTATAAAGCATTACAGTAGCGATCACAAGGATGGGATTCTGTCTTTAGTCCGATACTGTAGCACTAGCTCAAGCTTTTGCTGAAGCTGCGGATGTACCGCCCCTCAAACAGCCGTGCTGTTTCAAGCGAACCGCACCTTCGGATTTTCATCATGGTGCATCATTCAAGAATCGTTCTGTGCGTCCTCAACAAACACATCGCCCCAGAGGCTGTAGCCGAAATACATCGAAATACAATCCTCTGCCCCAACGCTGCATTGCAACACGGAATCATCTAGCATGCTGACGGAGCTCCCACTCAGCCTTACAGCGTTCCTATGCCGCTGGGCTGCATGTCTCCGTGGTTTCGAGTTTGCAGGTTGAGTCGAGGATGAAAGCTCATCAACACAAGGGTTTGCAATTTGAGGTTTCCCGGTCTGCAGCTTTTAACTTTTTGCCCTTGCATTGATGAGCTGGATGGGGAGTCCGCTGTGACTGGAAAGTCGCCAAACCCCGGACGGACTTTGAGGGAGTGGGGAAGCTCCTCCTCGTTTACATTACAAAATACCGTGTATATATATATATATACATACGTGTATATATATATATGTATTTACACATATATACACACATACACATCCAAGTACACATACACATACACGTACATATAGCGCGCACACACACACACATGCATGTGCGTAAAGGGAGCCAGAGTGGTTTTCGAAGCCGCTCTTGAAGAACACATACAGGCAGACAGCAGAGACATATAAGTTATGTAAAGAGCATGCACGTGGTCTGTCGTTGGTACCGGGTTGCAGAGAATGGGATGCAAACCGCCTGCTGGCTCGCGACGACATCCCATGACACAAGGGCTGTCCCCGGGGCTGAACGGCGCTATGCTTTCCGGTCTCGAGGGTCAGGCCTTGCATCCTTAAGTTACTCTAAAAGCCCACAGGCCCAAGCACCTCGATCGGGCCACGTGAATACGCATGCCACCAAACCCGAAGCCAAAAATGCCGGAGATCCCGAGGAGGCTTGGGGCTTAGGTTCTTTGTAGCTGACGCTATCTTGGGAATGTTTCTCGCTTAACTGGAACCTTTACTTTCCGCCAGGCGAGTTGCTAGGGTATCCTTCTTCTTGTTGGCAACTTGCGGCATCATGGCCCTGGATGTGTTCATGTTATCCGGAAGCATCGTATCCCCACTCGCGACACCCGCCAGCCGAAACCCCAAAACATGCACCGCTCTTCGTGAGGTTGTTGCGGTTTGCTGGCTTGTGATCGCCGAGTGTCCCTGCAGCTGAGGATGCTGAGCGGAAGTGTTCGTTGGAGTGTTGGCCTAGGTGAAGGCTTCTTCTCGGCTCTTTATTATCTACACATTTGGGTGAAGGCGGAGGTATCTTCATGGGGTTGTGGAGGTGAGTGGCTTGCTGTCCATGCTTATCTTGGTAGGCATGGCATGGTGAGAGTGCCTCGGGGCCACAGCTTGGATTGATAGAACCTGTTTCGCACAACCCATCATCAATAGCGATACCCAAATCCTTCAGCCCTCAAACAATAATGTTGGACCTGCGTCCAGAGACACACGTAGATCCTGTTGCAAATCCCATATGCCGAGTCTGTCTGTCTGCCTGTCTGATCTGTCTGGCCGTCAGGCCGTCTAGCGGTCTGGCTGTCTGTCTGTCGGCCGTCTGGCTGTCTGGCAGTCTGGCTGTCTGACTGTCTGGCTGTCTGGCTGGCTGTCTGTCTGGCTGTCTGCGGGTCGTCTGTCTGTGCGTACGTGCATACGTACGTACGTATGTCTGTATGTGTGTGTGTATGTGTGTGTATGTGTGTGTAGTGTATGTATATGTATATGTGTATGTGTATGTGTATGTGTATGGGTATGGGTATGGGTATGTGTATGTATATGTGTATGTGTATGTGTATTATGCGTATGTATGTGTATATGTGATTGTCTATGTATGTGTATGTGTATGAGTGCGTGTGTGTGTGTGTGCGTGTGTTCTGCGTCTGTGTCTTTGTAGGTGTATGCGTGGGTGTACCTGTATATATGTGTATGTGTCGGAACATACATTGAATGTGCATGTGCATATGCATGTGTATATGTGGCTGTGTGCGCATGTGTATGTTGGTGTACGACTTGTTTGTCGTGTATTGATGTGTAGTTGTGTATGTACGTTAATATCTGTGCATATCTGTACGTATGTGTATGTACGCACGTGTGATTGTATGTTAATGTACACATGTGTGTGTATGTGTAAATACGCCTATGTATATGCCTGTGTATGTGTGTACGTAGGTATGCATGTCTGCATGTTGCTCGTTGCATATTTGCACGTATGCATGCGTGCATGTATGTATGGATGTGCCCGTGCATGCACGCATTTGTGTATGCTACTGCATCACTTTCTCAGCCCCACCGCGCGATGCAAATGGACTAATAGGTTAGAAACAATCCGGCAAAGCTCAGCAACGTGTGTACAAATGGGGTTTGCCACGTGCGTCAATGTGTGTGCACATGTACATGTATGTAATTGTATACACACTATTTATAGTGTGCATATATAGGCACGTCATATTATCTCTATATATATATA